CAGAGATGCATTCTGGCTGGCACACTTTCCTGGACTGCCAGAGTGGGTGTTAAGGTGGAGGGTTGAGGGGTGGCACAGTTGAAATACATTTCCATCACTGACACAGAATGGGAAGGGGCCATGGCTGTCCATTTTAAGCTTAACCAGCTTGTCTCTCAGTCTCTCCAATCTGTTTATCATTCCGCTCTGCTCATGGTCCGATAGCTCAATGAACACTTTCTGAACTTCATCATCAACAAGCTCTTCTTCATCTTGTGTCAGCTCTGGCTGAATAATGTTTGACTTGAGTTTATTGACGGTATCCTCTTTGTTGGCTGAATCCTTGAGATTGCCACAGCTTGGGGGGTATATTTTGAGTGTAAAACTGGAGATCTAGGGTACTTTTCCTCAATAATAGAGGTTTCAGGATGCCATTCTCAAAGACTCGCGTTGGGAAGATGCCTCTTGACCAAAGAAACCTTTTGTTCTTTAAAAGGAAGGCTGGAATATAAGGAGTATTGAAGGTAAGGAGTACTCTATCACACCGATCCATTCTGGGTAGAACTTCCAGGTCTGTTAGGTCGCTTATCTCCAGCCCATCTTCTATCAGTGCTTTCAAGTGTTTCTTAACCGCCCTACTTGTGTTCCAATTCAAGTGTTTCTTAACCTCCATTCTTGTGTTCCCGTTTGGGGTACAACCCCTATAAGGGAAGATGTTCAGGCAGACTTTGGCAGGTTGTAACACTAGTTGGAGGGAATTATCATAGTTGTCTGCCTTTAGGATAGCCTGGCTGGAGTCAGGTCTGATATTACTAACAGGGCCATGCTTTAGTTTTCCCATCTTAGGGTCCACCTGATTTCTGCACTCATTAGAAATATCATTGCTGAGCGTTGTACACTTGCAGTCAGGTGGGGTTCTAATCTCTTTGCTGAGAAACTCTATCTTGTTATTCAGCCACTGTAACAGTTTACAGATATGATCCACTGTTCTAGCCGTCAATTGCAGCAGTTCTAGAGGATCAATGGCTGCTTCCAAAGGGAACTTCTCCCATATGTTACGCTGTGCCATGGGGCTCTCCTCCACAATACCACACTCTGATTTCTCCCCAGAGCTCCCACCATCAGACACTGTCGTTTCCAGGTCATCAGCCAGGTCCCCCCTGCTTTCTAACACAGCAAAGCGTTTGCAGTGGGAATTTTAGGTAAATAATAGTCATCAATTTTTAATTGTTTTGAGGAGGGTGGAGAGAGGTCTTCATCCTGTCTGGTGCACTTATTTGTGTTCATTATAAGGCCAGTAGAAGTCAGAATAGACCCACACACTATCTTGCTATATGCTGCAAAAATTTAAATCACATAGAATACTGCTGGTCTTCCAGCCCACTTATTAGATACTCAGCTCCAGGCTCAGTTTTCAGTTGCCTTGGCTGGCACCCCGAGTAGCTGGGTAACTGCTAATCCACTTAAATCTTTAAAAAAGATAGCAGCGATCTTAAAAAATGCTAAGTCCATGCCAGTAAAAATCAAAAGGGAAAGAAAAAAAAGCGGGGGGGGGAGGGGCTTCTCTCTGTTAAGTAAAGTAAAATGTACAATTTACTCCACTCTGAACAGAGGAGAGCAAAAAAGAGAGAGAAAAAGGAAGCTGGCCCAGAATCACTGTATGTTAAAAATAACTTAATGTATATTAAATAAACAGCTTGTTAAAATGTTAAAACATTAAAAGCTCAGATAAGCCTTGGAGCAAGTACCTTCGGCATGCTTATCTGGAGCCGCCCTTCCAATGACATAATTGTTAAGGCAAAAGCAATGCAGGTAATACCAGGATGTATCCTGGAGATAGGGACAGACGAAATTGGGAGGAGATATTTTTCCCACAGTTTACTAAAAATGTTCCTCCTGTAGAATCACTGTTGCGTCCTTTTCTTTGGTAAGAGGTTACAGCTGTCGCAGGGAGCTTGTTTAGTTTAGATTAGTGTCATCTTATCTTCCCTGGCTGCAATAAAGGTCAGTCTGCTGTACGCCAGTAGCTCTAAAGTTGTGCCGTTGGTATTATAACTTAAAGGCAGATAAGATTTATAAAACTTAATTAAATCTTAATTAAACCAGGAGCTTTCTTCCAACACGTCCTTCAGAGGATTGGGCGGAACCGATAAACTACATATTTTAGGGACATTGTATGCTGCACCAGCAAGCACCAAAACTAAAGGTGTAGCTAATTAAAAACCTTTAGTACAAAGACTTGAGGGGGGAGTCAAAGTCTGGGGGAAAATATAAAATTTCTAGACTAGGGTCTTCAAAATTCAACCAGATTATCATCCACCAGCAGCAGCATCGACAAGGAAATCCTCGAGATTTGCTATTCAAAAAAAAAGAGTAGTTTTGTGACACAGCATGGGGTTATAGATATGGTAAGGCATTCTTAAGATGTAATTATTGTACTGGTCTCTTTTGAAAATCCTAATTAATGATCATTTACCAGCTAAATGCCCTGGTTGACTTCTGAAATGAGGAAATAATCCATGCAATTGACATAATTGCTCCTGGGAGCCCTCTCTCAGGACGAAGAGCCCAGGCACCCCCTTGGTTTACTGAGGGGCTGCAGACACTGAAAATACAAGGGAGACCACTAGACTGACAGTGGAGAAAGACTCAGGGTTTTGGACACTGTGTGACACAAAGTGTTGGACTGGATGTGCCATTGGCCTTCTATTCTTAGGATGAATCTGACAAGGCTTGGGTTAGAGCTCATTTTAACACCTATTTCATGGCGATGATGGCTGTGGTAACACCACTGCATCTGTAGCGTGTAGACTTGTGGTTCTAAGTGGTCAGGGGCCTATCGGGTTCTGGCCTACAGGAGGAGGTAGACTGCTCTGCTGCTCACTGTGATCATTTCGCTAAGCACTTTGCAGACAAAATCTCTCACATCTGCTCTGACTTGGACTGTACATTAACCGTGACAGAATTGGATGGTCCTGGGGCTTCTATTTTGTCAAAATGGGTAGGATTCCTTTCACCTTATCCAGTCAGAGGATGAGGCCAAGATTCTTGGAAGCTACCACCTGCTTGTACAACCCTTGCCCCTCCTGGCTGCTTAAATCTGCCGGGCACACTGGGTTTAGGAAACATTAAATGCCTCCCTGGGAGTAGTCACTACTGCCCTGAAGTACTCTCTAGACCCAGGATAGCTGAATATCTACCATCCAGTCTCAAATGGTAAGGCTGGAACATCTAAAACGAATACTGTGAGATACTGTGAGCTGATGGCGGGTTGAGAACTGCGAAAGATGGCTGTTACTGTTTATGGTGAACGATCACTATACTGTTTATGGTGAACGATCACTAGCACTTTATTATGGTTTTAGAACTGTTTTAATCATAATTTATGTTTTTAATGTGATTATTTGTTGTAAGCTGCCCTAAGCCGGCTTTGGCTGGGAGGGCTGGGTAAAAGTTTGAATAAATAAATAAATAAATGTACCATTCCTGAACAAGGTGATTGAATAGTGGCTGCTGGCCAACATCAGGGATCCCTAAATAAAATGGATGGTTTGGATCCATTCCAACCCGGTTTCAGGCCTGGTTATGGGATTGAAATTGCCATGATTGCTGGACAGTGGGAGTGAGACCCTGTTAATTCTCCTGGACCTCCCCATGGCCTTTTATATAATTGATCATGATATCCTTCTAAACCACCTATCAGGGTTGGGACTGGGAGGTACGGTTCTATAGTGGTTTTGATCCTATGTCAAAGGTAGTTTTCAGAGTGTGGTAGTCAGGGACTGCTGCTATGCCCCTCTGGCCTACAGGATTCTGCAAGGTTCCATCTTGTCCCACCAAACTTTTCAACGGAGTTGCACTCCCGCATAAAGGGAGCCAGTTTGGTGCAGTGGTCAAGTGTATGGACTCTAATCTGGGAGAACCGGGTTTGATTCCCCACTCCTTCACTTGCAGCTGCTGGATGACCTTGGGCAAGCTATAGTTTTGTCAGAGCTGTTCTCTCAAGGTCAGTTCCGGAAAGAGCTCTGTCAGCCCCACCTACCTCACAGGCAGTGTTCCCTCTAAGCTGAGTTAGTGTGAGCTAGCTCACCGTTTTTTAGCCTCCAGCTCACACATTTTTGTCTTAGCTCAGGAAAGATGGCTCCAGAGCAAACTGATTTTATGCAGCAGCCAAGCTACCTGCTCACAACTTTAATGCCAATTGCTCACAAGGTAGAATTTCTGCTCACAGGACTCCACAGCTTAGAGGGAACATTGCTGCTGAACCAGAGCCTTCTGTTGCATAAACAGGTGGCAGTGGTAGCCAGGGGTCCCTTTTACCAGCTTTGGCTGGTGAGCCATCTGTGGTTCCTCCTGAGGTGCATGGGGGAAGATCTTGCCAGTATGGTGCATGTCATGATAACATCTACAGTAGATTACTGCAATGAGCTCTACATGGGGCTGCCCTTGAAGACTGTCCAGAAGCTACAGTTGGCACAGAATGCTGACTGGAGTAGGGCATAGAGACCACATCACTGCATCTACACTGGTTCCCAGTTTGCTTCTGAGCCCCAATTCAATATGCTGGTAATGACCTTTAAAGCCCTATATGACTTGGAGCCAGCATACCCTTCTTATATAAAAACCTACCTGTCTGGTCATCTTCAGAGGCCCTGCTTCAGGTGCCTCTTCCATCTCAGGCTAGATAAATGGTAACCTTGAAAAGGGCCTTCTCTGACATGGCACATAAAAATCTGGAACTGCCCCCCCAGATAAATCTGCCTCTTTCTGTTGTTGTCTTCTGTGAACAGGTGAAGACTTTTTTGTTTTATTTGGCATATTCCCAACAATTGCTACTGGCCCTTCTCCCTGATTTTAGTGTTATGTGTGTTTAAATGTTTTTCTTGAATTGTATATCTACTTTATTTTAAACGTTTTTAACATTGAAATGTTTTGATGTTCACTGCCTTGGGGACCCTATTTTGGTGGAAAGACGACACAGAATTTTTTAAAGTCAGTCAATCAAACAGAATGGCACTTACCTTTACACCTATATCCTTGTTTAATAACTCCCCAAAGCTGAAATTGAAGCAGAAGAAAAAGAAATATCACATACAACTTAGGGCTATAGTTATACCTCATGTCAGTCCCAGCCCATACTCCAATTCACCAAAGGCATCTGAGCTGGATGACCACCCACCATATGTTCCAAAACCTGCTATTTTCCTTTACTCCTTGGTCAAAAAGCAGCATTTTTCTTATTAGCGGCAGATGAATTCTCAAAACAAGAAGATCAATGAGAAAGATAAGAAATTACAGCCACCCACAATATCATCTTCAAAACTAACAAGATCTAGGTCATGATTGTAATTTAGTCTCCACTTGAAACTTGTTTGTCCTGGAAAATTACCAGCAAATGGCAGATTTCAGAGAACTGAGCCTATTTTAAAAACAACTCATCTAATAAATTCAGAGAACCTGTTTTGATTTGCAAGCATCATTAAAACTGGTCTGTAGACTTCTTAGGAGGAGGTGATGGCACTTCATGTCATGCCTAGGGGTCCCCAAGCACTTTGCTTCTCCCAAGCTAAAGATGACATAGCCACCATAGGGTAAAGAGCTATACCATAGAATCTGAGCATGTTTTTGATCCTGATACACTGAAGCAGCCTTTAGGGGTGCTGGTTAGAGCTAAGGAGACCCTGCCCAATATAGAAATAATAGAAAAACATTATCTCATAAGAGGATGGAATGAGACTCTCAGCAGTTGTTCTTTGTTCCTGAGGAAGGATAATAAGGTCTGAAACACTGGAAAAATTACCTAGGAAAAGTGTTGGACTTTTTGTATATTTATGGAATTTTTGTACATTTATCTTGTATATCAATTCTTTGGCTTATGCATTTTCCTTTAAATGAAGTCTCCTTTGTGAATATTCTGTGGGAAATTCAGATCACAGTTGTTTTTTGTGGTTTTGTTATTCTTTGCTACTTGTTACTGTGTGCTGCACTTTTGTTGTTGTATACCATATAGGTCATGGTGCGTCTTTCAAAAGCATTCCCAATTTGCAATTAATTTGCATGTTTCCCAAAGGCTCATGGAAATCCTTTTGAAAGACTCACCACGACCTAGGTAGTATATAGCAGGACTGGGCTAGCAAATATAGGGATTGTTGGAGATGTATTGAGGGTGCCACTCTTGAGAGCCCCTCTAAGCTTTCTTACCCTGTGGAAGGGAGCTCAAAAGGCATTTAAGGGTGCGGGAGCAATGAAAACGGTATACGATTTTAGAGACAGAAAGCCGAAGTAAGGGCAGAAGGACTCTGATAAATGGCCCTTTGAAACAAAGAAGATGCTCAGAAAGTTCTCTCATAATAACTAATTTACTAATACAGAACAATGTGAAAAACAAGAACTCTACAAGTATATTGTTTTACTAACTCTTTTAATACTAATATTAAGTTTAACATAAAGGGGGTCTCCCACTCTTGGGTTTTTAGTTAGTGTGGGTATCTTTCCTTTATCCATAGTTGTAGTTCCCCTTCCTATATTTTTCTTTGTAGTTTGTAGTCATATTGAAAAAATAAAAATACCCCTCCGGGGGGTTTTTAAAAAAGGCATTTAAATGCTTTCTGAACGCAATTAAATGCCCTCTGAGGTGGCTGTTTCCAGGTCTCATGATGCCCCCCCTCCCCAATTCCACAGTGGGAGGTAGAGGGAATCCCAAGGACAAACCACAGCTCTCTTGGCGCTGCCAGCAGCAGGGTCTCTCCTCAAAAATAAGATTTCTGGCATGGCTATTTGTGTGATGGGGTTTTTAATTAAGGGGGCATGGCCCTCAAAATGCTCCATTGTAGCTACCAGCCCATTTCTACAGCCTTTAGTAATTTTGAAGACCCCCCCCCCCCGTGCCATGCATCCTTACACATTAATACAAGGGGCATGAAACCCAGACTCTTGCATGACAATTGAGGGGGCAGGGTCATGTTTAGATGTTATGTCCCCAGCTAACAAGATACATTTGGACTAGATTGGCCATGATCAAAGGAAACCTTTATTTATTTATTTAAAATGTTTAAGCATTTTAATGCCCTTCTTTCTACTGAGCATCTCAGGACCTTGTGTCTACTCTTACAAAGGTCCTGTTATCTCTAGCCAAGTAAGCTTACCATATTTGTTTTTCACCATATCAGCATAACAGCCCTCCAAGTAGCCTTCCTCCAGTCTAAGAAGCTTTGTTGCAACCTAAGTGCTCTTCCTCCAACAGAAGAGCCTCTTAATTTGGAGGAAGGCTCCAAACCTGAGCCCAAATGAAAAACTGGGTATAACTGTTTTAATTAGTTTCAGTTCAGTTTAGTTTATTGTAATTAGCCATTGGCCATTACAAAATTACAAAACACAAATTGTGAACAAGCTATAGGTTAGAGTCAGAATATACAAAAATACCAAAGATCAGTAACAAAATATGACTAATTTAATACAGTAGCCTAAATAATGCCCCTTCCTAATGCCACCTTCACCTTTTACTAAAGATTTTAATTAATAAATAAACTTTGCTTAGTGGGCCCAGCCTGGCCAATATCCTGCTACTTGGTCCAGCTCAATGGCTGGCACTGCACAACTGAACAAGACTTTTCCTGGGGAAATCTGCCAGGAGTAGGAAAGGAGTGAAAGCTGAAAAATGGGGCAGATAAAGGGAGGTTGGCTGGTAGATGGGAAGGAGATAAAGAAGCAGGAAAAGGGGGGAAGCTATAGGGGCTTTCAGGGAAGAGAAAGAGGAAACAGGGGAAGAGGAAACTGAGACGTCCACTGCAAGTCATTGTGAGTCCCCTGCTTATAGTTTATATAAGAATAACCATTATAGATAGCATTTCACAATAGATAGCATTTCACAATTTATTTTTTGGAAATATGCCCCACTATCCACCACACACATGCCCAAAAAAAAAACCAACCCAAAAAACACCCAAGCTTACAAATCCAGCACAGTTGTCACAGAATGTGGGCTTTAGGTAAGTGGTCTCCTGGAAGTTGTGGGAAAAGCCAAGGCATAATTTAGAGTAAATTGAGCTGGCTCTCATAAAGTAAGCTGTTATTTCATCCCTGCTAATCAGGCCTTCCCTGCAAACAAACAACAAAGAGAGTCACAACTGAAGCTTAATCATTCTAGAACAAGGAAGAGTTAATTCCCCTCCCCATCCCTTCCTACCCAAATACCCAACAACCCAACAAGGTAAATGCAACAATTCATTTTCAAAACAAAAAATATATGCAAGCATATAAATTAATATGTGTGTATCACACACATACACGGTATGGTCCTGTCAGGCAGGTAGCGAGTTCTGCAGCAGCTCATCTAAAATTTAGCAAAACAGCTCAACTGATTCTGAACATGCAGTACAATTATCAAAACAAAGAAGGAGCCCAGAGAATAATTTACACCACTGTTACCTTCAAATTGCTCTTTACAATTCCTAATGCCGTGTTAGACAATGAGCAGAATCAAAGGAGGAGGGGGAACGGCACAACAGGAATCCCCTAAACATATAAGAATTCATGGTCTCTTGCTTTAAAAAACACCCTTTGAGGCAATGGGCTGAGAAAACAAAAATATCATCTCAAGAGGTTCACACCCCTCCAGGAAAGCGATCTGAGACAGGGCCCCTCCTCCTCCCAAGTTAGAACCCACTGCCAAGCCAGGCCACTAAGAAGCCTATTCAGACTAGGGAGAAAGTTGGAAATGTGACTGTTTCACCCCCAAAAATGTTACAAGCAGACAAACTTGTTTTTTTGTTTGGTGACACAGAAATGGATGACTGCCAATGATTCCTATAGGTAAAGGAGATTGCAAGCCTGTGAGCAAAAATTCTACTTCGTGAGCCAAAAATCTATGAGCATAAAAGTTGTGAGTGAGCCTAAAATTTCTTTAAATGAAGGAAGGAAGGAAGGAAATAGATGGGAAGAGAGGACTTAAAGATAGAAAGGAAGAGAGAGGCCCCCTGCAGGCCCTCCTAGTGCTAGTGGTGGGAGGCCCTCTGAGGAGTTCCAGGCCATGTTCCCAGAAGAATGCCATCGAGGGGGGGAGGCGGACGCATGGCCTGGACAAGAGAAAGTGAGCCTAGGATCTTCTGTGCCACCAGAGCAATGTGCTCCATGTGGCACAGGAGCGCCTGGGGCTCACTTCTCCAGCAGACCAGTTTAAATTGGACTGCAGGAGAAAGTGAGCCACCGGCAGCAATGTGCTCTGTGCAGCACTGGAGCCCCTGGGGTTCACTTCTTCAGCAGACCACTTTAAACTGGACTGCAGGAGAAATTGAGCCCAGAATCCTCTGTGCCACTGAGAGCGATGTGCTCCACACAGCACAGAAGCGGGAGGCCCACAGAGGGGGGCCAGGCCACGCTATCCAAAGGCCATTGAGGGGGCCCAGGTGACTTGCCTGATGCAGCAGGCCAGGCAGGGCAGCAGGACGACAACAGCGCAGGTGGGACAGGCCAAGTGGTCGGCCCGAGCAGGCCTGGGCCTTGGTGGGCTTGGTCAGCTTGGAGGCAAAGCTCTTGGGCTGCAGCAGCAGGGCGAAGACTGACAGGCGCAGCTGAGTGGGTGGGTGGGGCTGCCCAGGAGTGGAAGCATCTGAGCACTCAGCTAAAAAGCTCTGCAGTGGGGAGGAAGGCTGGTGCACTTCAGAGGGAACCTTGACCAGAACTGGAATTCATTCTCACAGCTAAGGATTTCTTCCATTTAACTAACTGCAGTCAGAGACTGGAGGGGATACAGTTCTCTTCCTTTTGCTACGCCCACATCTGAGCACAGTGCCTGGCTCAACACTCAACACTCACTGCGCATACATGTCCTGTCACCAAAAACTTTGAATACACTGGTAGCAGAGTGGCTGGATCAAGCAGTACTTGTGAATCAGACTCTACCCCTGCTTATGGCTGGGGTGTGACTAATATACAGCTAGGATGTAAATCGATGATCTATACAGCAGGGTTAACAGCCCAAAGGATCTGTCACTCATTTCACTGCTTATTCTGTATCACAAAAACCAAGATCACTTTTTCCACATGGCAAATTTCAACAGATGGACATGACGGAAGGCAACCTGCTCATCTATATGTAACTTGAGTTACACTGGCATCTCTGCAGTTGCAATAACGCAAAAGTAAATGTGAAACCAGTGTTTGGATGTACTCACCTGTCTTTGTCCATTATACAAAAGGAAAAAGGAAAACTTGCTGCAATCTTCTCAAATTCTTCCTGAGAAATGTAACCATCCTGATCATGGTCATAATTTTTGAAGACAGACTGGATAAGGTAAGAGGAAAATTTAAAATAGAAACAAACTAAATATCACCAGGATTTTTAAAGTACTTGCTCTGTAGCAGATGAGTATCAAATTTAATTCCAGGAGTTTTATACCGGATTTTTTAAAATTAATGTCTAGTATGGTTTTGTATGGTTTTACAGGATTATGCTGCAGTTAAAGGGAGTAGGACAGGTACACCATCCTGAGTTCCTTGGAAGGTGAGATCCAACTAAATAAATGATTATTTAAAAAAAAAACTTGTGGGAATGTTTCTGAATAAGAAATTTCCATTCCTTTAATTGGCATAGCCAACAGAAGTATGCAGTGTCCCGTGAACTGGGTTCTCGAATGATATATGACCATTTGACCCTGTTAACAGAGCAAGGGGACTTCTGTGGGATGTACTGATTATAGTCTCTGCATTTAGCCAACTGCAGCAGTATACATATTGCATGCCTATCACGGCTTTGTCTAATGCACAGCTAGCTCAGAAATTGGAAGTGTTCTCTCGTTGCTTACACAACTTGACAAAGATAAAAGAACCCCACACTATATAGCCATTTGATTTTCTCTCCTCCTACTTCCTCACAAATGCCCTTATGCTCAAGATACCATATTCCCACCCCCACAGCCTCCTACTATCCTTGTGCACAGTGGAACTGAAGCTATATACAGCACTGGGGACATTTTATAAACACAACCTTGATGCCTTCAGAATGGTATCAAGGTTCTCATATGACTGGGTTGTTTGGTATGGTGACCACAGAGATTAACATGCCTGTGGCATGATTCCCTCCTCCCACTACAAAGCTTAGCAGCACACATCATAGGAATTAGGGTCATCAGACAGTGTTCTCCTGCTCTGGCTATACACACAATTATTACTTGATTTCCCGATTCATACTGAGGCTGCAACTATATGATAAGACTGAGGCAGGTGAGCAAATGTAACAGGCCTACCATCCTCCATGATGAGTACAGGATTGGATCCCAAAGGGGAAGGCTTCTTTTACAGCAGAAAAGTGCCTCTGCTAGCAGGACTTATCTGTGGGTCCCCCTAATGTGTAGCTGGAACCGCATAAAAATGCAGAAAAATGACACAGAACATATGGGGCAAATAATGAAATATACTCACATCTACCATTCTCTGAACATGTTTGCTAATTATCTTTGGATCAGGTTTTGGAGCTATACCAGAAGCCCAGTCTGCTACTACTGGTGGTTTGGAAGGTGTCAAAGGCTAAAATAAGAATCATAAATTTGTATTATTAAAGGAAAGAGAATAATGAGGCTACAATACCAAACCTGCAACTTTAATAGAGGCTATCAATATTTGTTTTAAATATTTAAATTAATATATCTTAGCTGTATAGAGTTAAGATCATTGGCGTATCATTTTCATGAGCAAAGAAAATGCTGTACTATAGCTGATGAGTGCATTGCACTTTTTCTATACTACAATATTCTCATTCAGAAACTATTAGTTGTAAGAGCTCTTCCTACATCTTGGTATACTGCAACCCCCCCCCCCCCCAGGCAAATCTCTAAAAATCCTGGGGAAAATATCTGCATAGAAAACATAGGAGGACGAAGATAATACTTTATTTTTGAAATCATTCATTAGGATCCTTACTGCAGCCCGGTGACTCCTTGGCTCTCGAGCATATGAAAGTTCATAAATTTCATCTTCTGTATAATAAAGATCAAGGGATAGCTGCAAACAAAACACAGGAACAGTTTACTTCCCAAGACACTGTAACTCCTCTGGAGGGTTGCAGAAAGTAATTTTCATTGTTCCATGCAAAATCAATCATCAACACTGTTATTATTTCTAATAATGATAATTACAGGCCAGGGTGACACAAGCAACAAGAACACTAGCAAAAAACCAGAAGGGATCAATACTCTAAAGAACCAACCATTTGGTCCGTGAGCACAGAACCAATAAAATCTAGCTTTTTGTTTAGCTCCCAATGTCTACCAGCTGGTAGCTCCCAGTCTCAATCTACTTTATAGGAAAATCCCAAAATTGTATCCTTATACTGATTGGTTGTGTTTTAACTGATGCCTTGTATTTATATTTTATTGTGTATGTATACTGCTTGTCAGTTTTTGGAAGCCGCCCTGAGCCTGCCTGGCGGGGAGGGCGGGGTAAAAGTGAAATAAATAAATATAATAATAAATAAACTGCAAAGGCAATGAAAAGGAAAAATAAAAGGATTTCTCCATGCTGTGTCCCCTGTATCCATACACAGAAACTAGTTTTTGCAAATGGGCCGCTCTCTTTGAATCAACTCATTTGTAGTTAGCATTATATAACTATCATACACTGTAGGAAGGGAAGGCAGCATGGTATAGCCCAGTGTTGCCAGATCTTGGAAGCTAAGCAGGGTCAGTACTTGGGAGGGAGACCTTCAGGGAAAACTCTGCAGAGGAAAGCAACGGCAAACCACCTCTGCTGTCACTTGCCTTGAGAGGCTCTTGGTGGGGTTGCCATAGGTTGGCTGTGACTTGATGGCACTCTTTACACACACACACACACACACACACACACACACTGTAGCTCCTATAAAGCACTGGATCCAAACATAAGCTTATGATCAGCCAGTTCTTCTTGTGCAATTAATATTAAATTTCTGGAAGATGGCTATTACCCTTTTGCCTGTTAGCAAACAATGATCCCCAATAAATTTTATCAAAGTATACTTTTGCAACCGGGGAAGCATTTCAACTCCCTATAACAACTTCCTTATAGTTGTTATAGGGACTACTTAGATAAAATACATGAAGAATTTTGGACACCTTGAGCCTCAACCTGACATATAAGACCCACCCTTTAAAAACAACCCAACTGTTTGGCCTTTTCTTCTTTGTCCACTTTCCATTTGTTGTGAGGCTCAAATGGAGGAGGGGAGAATGATGATGTAACCATTTGGGGTCTCTACTGGGGAGAAAAGTGAGGTACCAATCAATGCTCCCTCTAAGCTGTAGAGTCTTGTGAGCAACAATTCTACCTTGTGAGGTACTGGCATTAAAGTTGTGAGTGACTGATTTGGTTACTGCATAAATTAGTTTGCTCTGGAGCCATCCTTCCTGAGCTAAGACAAAAATGTGTGTGCTGGAGGTTAAAACACTGTGAGCTAGCTCACACTAACTCAGCTTAGAGGGAACACTGGTACCAATATCCCAATTAATATGTGAATTACAGTTAGTATATTTTGTGTAAAAGAATTACAATGAAATGAATAGTTGGTACCCTAGCAATATAACCAGCTAAGTCAGAAATGCCCAGGTAACACAGTGCTACAAAACTGCAGTCGGCTACATGACCCATAAAGCCTACTGTGCAAACAAACTTCTACAGATGAATAGGAAGCTGAGATGTCTCTTGTGGGTGAGCTGTATGTCACTGCAGCTCCTTCCACTCCAAGACATATAAGTGCATGAAAGATACAAAGGCAAGACAAATTAAGGGACACATATAGCCCGGCTCAGCAACTCTTGTTTCAAGCTATGCAGCACATTTTAGTTTTAAGGTACAATAAGCTATTGATTATACAACTTTTTTTACTCTTGAGTTTAAAAAAATTAACTGATCAATTGAACTTCTTCAATAAGGAAATAAAATGACAAAGGAATATAAAATCTTGTTTCATATCTGAACCGATACAAAAATAATTTATATTTCACTTGACATTCACATAACGATGGCAGTTTTCACTTAAGGTGGCTTTACACTTAAATTGTGAAAGATCACAGATCTGTTCATTTCTGATGTGTCAAATTATTTTGCTGAAATGCAGTGGGAGGCAGATGTTTTGAGGATCAAAGTCAAAGAGAAAAGAAACCTATGATACAAGGGGAAGGAGAGCAGTTACTAGTCTCAAAGAGAATTCAAATGTACCTAGAATGTACCAGCCACACAAAAAATCCTTTTGCGTGCTATAGAATGGTATTAAAGCGCAGAATTAGTCTTCCACAATGGTTAGCAGCCTTGCACAGTACATGCCACAGTTTCTGTGGAACTCAGCAGTTGCAACCACTGCCATGAACACTTATCATACAGCTTGGCTGTCTCTGGTGGAAAGTTATTAATGTACTGTTAAAGCCAAATGAAGCCCCAGATATATGCATCAATAGCTTACCCACTTCAAATTGTCCTGCCTGGCATATCTGTCTGGCATTTAAGTAATTCCACTTAACTCTAATTATAAAAGGGAGAAAGTACAGTCTGTAATCAAAATACACAGACTTACTGTGAGGAGATGAACGAGATCTTTGTTAGCCTCCAAGGGAGGTGCCATTTCCTGCAGTTGTACCAGTTCATTGACATGATTGTACAAAGAATACAACTTATGAATATTAATTTTTTTGTCTTCTAAGTAATCTGGCATGGCCTCATAAAGGGAGATTAAGTCTTTCAGATGTACTCCAAGGATAGGAATTTTAAAGTTACTGCACTCACTGTAGGCACGCCGATAATTATCATAGTTCCTATAGGATGACAGTAGTTCTGTCATTTCATTGAACACCTAAACAAAAACAAAGAGAAGATAATGATCAACATAGCAGATTAATTTAACACTTGTAGTTAAAATTAAATGTAATATGTTTGCAGCCCAGTTCTATAGATCAGAATCTTCCAGTGAGATACAGTGTCTACAGATAACTTTTCCTTTGAGAAACAAGCTGCAGTTGCAATACCTATCAGATTATTTTGGATTAAACCAATCAAGCATCAATCAAGCATTCAGACATCAGAGAAGAGTACTACTAACCTTATGGATGTCATGTGGAACATGAGAACTAGTTTCTTTAAGTCTAGAGATGGAACTGTGGCAGAGACCACCTATCACAGCCATTAATGTATTAAAATTCTGCAACTGATGAAGTTTCTGCATTGAGAAAGGATCCACAGTTATTATTCAGTTGTGGTCTGGTCAAATGGATGTATCTGATTTTTTTAACATAACAAGGCAAGAGGATGGTCTCAGGGTGATAAGAAATACCCCTTTCAATAGTTCCTTTCTGTGCAGCTTTTAAAAAATACTCTTACTCAATATCCATAAACATATTTTAACCCCTGGTTACCTATTTCACCTTTCCCTTCCAAACAGTTCTAAATCAGTACATTTAAAAAAAAGGAAACTTCAGAATCTTTTGTTTTTGCTGTCTTTCTTTACAGGAAAGTACCAGACATTTCCAAAATATTAATATTTCAAAAATATTAAAGAAATGACTGCTATTATTAACCAGAGAGAGCCAGAAAGAGAGAAATAAATGCCCAAAAGTTCACAACGAGACTGACCTGAGCCACATGAATGAATTTGATGAATACTTCAGATCGAAGCTGCGGTGTTGGTCTATTGAGTACCATTAGCTGTACCCACTGAGATATACCATTACAGAGAGCAACTGAACGTTCCATTGTTGGATTTTCCTTTACACAGCCATTCATAATATAGTTCTGGTAATCTGGTAACTTTGAAAAAAAGGAGAGGAATTTAAAAGATCATACAAGAGAGATTTAAAAAGTTATATACTATTCTTTGTGGATAAATACCCTCCACCCTAGAATTTCTGTAATTGGGACTGCATTCTATGCATGCTTGAGAAGCGTTCAGTGCTGGCCAAAGATTGGCAAAAGGAAAACAACAGGAGATGAATCATCTGTCTCCCCAGCACAATACTGCAGTGCTTGATTGTGCAATTGGACCTGAGTAGAACAAAAAGTCTGCCATTTACTACCTTAGCTAGAATGTCACACCTAAAGAACAGAGACTGGGAAAGCCAAAAGGCTAGATTGAGCTCTTCCTCATAAACATGATCAGGACTGACTCCCAAGGGGAGATTATAAATAATAAGGGTATTTGATTTTTTAATTTATTTACATTATTTCTCGCCTGCCTTTCTTACAGGGACTCAAGGAGGACTACACACAGTGAATCAGTACAATCAATAAAATGGGACATTCAATAAACAATGCACTATGATTGTAGAACTCTGGAAACAACCAGAAATCTAAAAGATAGAACTGAAGCAAAGCATAGATATTAACATGACACATTAAACAGTGCAAACATTACATAATAGGATCCTACTTACAGTAAGCTATACACAATAGTATATGCCACAGTCCCTTATCATTTATCCAAGTAAGTTTGTAAACCGTTTTGTATAGTGCAACTCTATTACCTGTGCAGAAAGGACCTCTTGAAGAATTCAGTTTTACACATTTGCGGAAGCCAGGAGAGTGGGAGCCTTCCTGACCTCCCTGGACAGGCCATTCCATAAGGTGGGAGCCACATGGAGAAAGCACATGTAAGAGCAGTTGTCTGCCCATTTGCAGACTGCCATCTGCAGAATGTCCTGCTCAGATGTGCGCTGTCATGGTAAAGCACAGCAGATACAGGCAGTCCCACAGATCAGAGGGACCAAAGCCATGAAGGACTGTATATGATAGCCAATACCTTAAACTGAGCCTGGTAACAAATGGACAGCCAATGGAGAGTTTGCAGAATGAAAGAGATATGTATGCTCCATCTATCTCCCAACAATAGCTGAGCCATGGCACTCCGCACCAGCGGGAGTTTCCAAGTTGATTTTGAGGGGAGACCAATGTACAGTGCATTACAGTAGTCTAGTCTCATTGTGACATGGATCCAGGCAGCCAGCTCAAGGTAAGAGGCCATCTTATGAGCTAGGCTGAGTTGGTAGAAAGCATTTTTTACAGCTGCATTAACTTGCTCCTCCAGTAACCAATATAACCCCAAGGTTGTTAATTGAACCAGCAAGGGACGGTTTGAAAGCCAGTTTGGTGTAGTGGTTAAGTGTGTGGACTCTAATCTGGGAGAACCGGGTTTGATTCCCCACTCCTCCACTTGCAGCTGCTGCATGACCTTGGGCAAGCCATAGTTCTGTCAGAGCTGTCTTTGAAAGAGCAGTTCTCTCAGCCCCACCTACCTCACAGGGTGACTGTTGTGGGGAGGGGTGGGGAGATTGTAAACCGCTCTGAGACACCAAGTAAAGGGTGGGATATAAATCCAATCTTTCTTCTTCAGTTGAACTCCATCAAAAGTAGGTAGGAACAATGTCCTTCAAGACCTCCACCCTCCCTGCCAGCACTGCATCTACCTTTCCAGAGTTTACTTTCAATTTGTTCACTTTTAGCCAGTTGGCCACAGCAGCCAGGCAGCTATTTAGGCCCTCTACCACATGACCAGGAGATTTGGATAAGGATATATAGAATCATAGTATCCCCCATCACTATATGGTTGTGAAAGTTGGACAACGAAGAAACCTAGATTCATGTGGGTAACCGTAATGGTCTGAAGCAGCAGAACAAAGTTTGAGTCCAGTGGCACCTTTAAGACCAATAAAGTTTTATTCTGGGTATAAACTTTTGTGTGCATGCACACTTCATCAGATACAATGAAACAGAAGTTACCAATCATTATATATAGGTAGAGGGGAGGGAGGGTGTTATCAGAAAGGGCCAATTAGAGTCAAGATGCATAAGTAACTAAGCAGCAAATATAGCTAAGACTGGATGAAGGTGATTGGTAAAAAAGGATAATAAATGAGTTTACAACATATGCGAGAACTGAATGACGTTAGCGTGTGTACTGAGATAAGAAACCAAGATCTCTGTTAAGCCCTGGGCATTCCATTCTCCCGAGTTTTATAACAATTTGTAACTCAGCAGTCTCCATTCCAGTCTGTTTCTGTATTTCCTTTGCAATAAAACATCTACTTTGAGATCCCCCCCACTGAATGTCCTGGAAGGTTGAAGTGTTCTACAGATTTCTCAGTTTCGTGATTCTTGATGTCAGATTTATGCCCATTTATCCTTTGAGAGCCAGTTTGGTGTAGTGGTTAAGAGTGGCAGACTCTAATCTGGAGAACCGGATTTGATTCCCCACGCCTCCACATGCAGCTGCTGGGTGATCTTGGGTCAGTTACAGTTCCCTCAGAGCTGTTCTCTCAAGAGCAGTTCCCTCAGAGTTCTCTTAGCCCCACCTACCTCACAGGGTGTCTGTTGTAGGGAGAGGAAGGGAAAGGAGATTGTAAACCCCTCTGGGAAGGGTGGGGTATAAATCCAATCTCTTCCTCTCTTCTTATCCTCTGATGTAGGGTTTCATCTGTTTGCCCTCTGTGAAGAATTGAAGGGTACTGTTGGCATTTAATGGCACATAGAAGATGAGCAAGTGAATAAGCCTGAGAAAGTGTAGTTAATGTTCTTAGGTCCAGTTACTGTGTTGTCTGGGTATGTGTGGCAGCAAGTTTGGCATTTGTGCTGCTATTCACATGTCTTACCAATCAGTTACTTATGCCTCCTGACTCCAATTGGCCCTTCCTGGCAACACTCACCTTATCCTCTATATGTAATGGCTGGTAACTTCTGTTTCAGTGTACTTGAAGTACGCATGCACACAAAAGCTTATTCCCAGAATAAAACTTCATTGGTCTTGCTGCTCTTATTACTTGATATGTTCCAGCATTTTTATGTGTCTATGTTTTAAATGATTGTTATTTTAAGTTATTTATATGCTTATGATATGTTTTAATTGTATTCTAATTGTATTTTACAAATTGTTATAAGCCACCCTGAGCCCGCCTTGGCGGGGAGGGTGGGATATAAATTAAATAAATAATAATAATAATAATAAATTAAAGGTGCCACTGGCCTCAAATGAAGAAAGCTGACAGGAAGAAAGTAGATTTCTTTCAAATGTGGTGTTGGAGGAGAGTTTTACGGACAAATCAGGGGTTCTAGATCAAATCAAGTCTGAACTGTCCCTAGATGCTAAAGTGACTAAACTGAGACTATCATACTGGGGTCACATTATGAGAAGATAAGAGTCACTGGAAAAAACAATAATGCTAGGGAGAGTTGAACGCAGCTGGAAAAAAAGGAAGATGCAACATTAACTCTATAAAGGAAGCCACAGGCCTCAGTTTGCAAGACCTGAGCAAGGCTGTTAATGACAGGATGTTTTGGAGGGCATTAATTCATGGGGTCGCTATAGGTCAGAAGCAATTTGACAACACTTAACACACACACACGTACAGAGCTGGGTATTATCAGCATATTGATGACAATGAACCCCAAAACTATTTGACCTACGACAAGGAAGCTCTCTTCTCCTTGTTCATCTCTCTCAGACAGACACAATATATGAAGGAATGAACTTTCCCTTTGGGGATGCATCTTGGCCACACGTTGAGGGCCAATGCAGAGAAACCTCTAAACTAGATGACAGAGGAAACACAAGAATTTTAAACTACTGTAACCTCAAGAGTGAACAGCCTCTCCTAGCATCATCACCATCCTGATATATGTAAAGTCAGAAGACTGCAATTTGTCACTTTTTCTTTTAACATTTGCTCAGTCTGATGCTTGTACAGACCATGTATACTCTTTTAATTGTTTATTAAACGTTCTTATATTCCATCCTGTTTTCCAAAGAGTGATAAAGAGGAATGGCAGTGGTGGAAATCACAATCTCTAAAGCACAAAGATCATCCCTCTGCTAGCTAGAATGAGTGAGGTGGGAAACGTGACAACTAGGTAGAGCCTTTAAATGCCAATGCAGTAAAGAATACTGGAAGTACAAATCCTTCCAGAGGGACATGGTCTTTCTGACTTGTTGGTGGCAACAGTTACTACCCAGAGAGAAGTCAGTACACCTGAGAGTATGAGATTGGGGTGGCACCACTAGTTGAAGTCCTGGGACAGCTGCTGGTCTTTTCTGAACTCTTGGACTACGAGGGAATGGGGGAGTTTCAAAAACAATCTTCTGCAGAACACTTCCAAGTTGTTTGAAGACTGCTTATTTAGACACCTGGCACTTATTGGGTTCTTATCAAGGCAAGGCAGCCATTTTCAGCCATTCATGCTTATTACATCAGATATGAGTCTGCAAAAAAAAAAGTGATTCACCCAAGGTCTCTGAATAAGTAGAGGACAGCCTATAAACAATTTGGAAATGTTCTGAAGAAAATTAGTTTCGAAACAGATCCTGACTAGCTATCCATTGTCTATTTTTAATACTGTGTCATCAGCTGAGTGTTACCTTTAATGTGTGACTTGCCATTTGACGTGCATTTTTTCATTGTGCTATTGACTAAATACACTGTCACATTTTTGTCCCTTTATAATATTTTGTCCTACCTACTCTTGAAGTACGCTAGTTGTTGACATCCTTGAATCATTCTGTTCTATACTAAATATTTTTTACTCTAACCTCATTTGGTGCGTTGTTTGTGTCGGCACTGTACTTCTAGTGAGTTGGCATTTTTGTTTGTTGCTATTGCAGAGGGCAGTCTGGACAGTTTGGCACCCTGGGACCATATGATTCTATCGCTGCTAACATAGAATCCAAGTCAGCAAACTGGTTGCCATAGGCTGCTGAGCAGTCCATCTACTCCTGTAGGCCAGACCCCAATAGGCTCTTGACCAATGTTCCCTCTAAGCTGAGT